CAGGGCGGTTTATGGGCACTGTAGCCGTTTTTGCATCAAGGTGATGGTTGCCCCATGCGTTGGTGAGGGGTGGGCAGGAAAAAGGTGTCAAAGGTCCCTGGCAGGGCTCAGACATCAAGTCCAATGCCCTTGGAGAACTGAGGATGGGTGCTCCAGAAGTGACACCAAGCTGGGCACAGTGTGGACATCAGCTGGACTGGATGTCCCCTGCAAGGGTTTTGCTGTGACCCAACTGCCCCACAAGGCACAGTCCCAGGCGGTGGGACCAAGCCCTGTCTGATGCACCATGGGATGTGGTGGGGTGAGTTCTCTCTCCAATAGGCTCTTTCTGTGGGTTTCAATGCTCCCTTAAAGCTGGGCTGCTTTATTTATAACTTCCCCTAAGGAGTAATTTCTTGGCTCTCTTACCCTCATGTCAGTGACAGGGGGTGATGGGGCTGACCTCAGCCCTTTCACAACACAGTATTAGCTAAGCTGGGTCCCCAGAGATGTGCCAGGCCAAGCCCATGCCAGCTCCCTTGAATTTCCACATGGCCATGACTTCACCACTGTCAGCCTGCTGCAGGGCAAGGTGAGAAGATAGGGAGCAAATGCTTGCTGCTGAGGTTAGAAACACGTCCAAGAATTTAAAGTGGGGTTTGCTCTGGAGCAAAGTGTTCTTGAAGTCACTTGCTTGGGGAAAAGCATTCGCAAAAGTGAGGGTGCAGCAAAACTCCTAGGAAATGAAATCACTGCTAAAGCAACACAAAGGCAGAATGCTTTGGGGCTGCACCTCTATCCTGGTTGTCTGTCCTTCGAGCAAGGTCCCTTCTCCTCCAAGCTACTGCTGGTGAGTTCACAGAATAGTTTGGGTTGGAAGAGACCTTCAAAGGTCATCTAGTTTCAACCCCCTGCCACAGGCAGAGACATCTTCAAGTAGAACAGGTTGCCCAGAATCACATCCAGCCTGGCTTTGTTGTCTCCAGGGATGGTGCATTCATTACCTCTCTGGGCAACCTGAGGGTTTACCACCACCCTCGTTATAAAATACTGTTTCCTCACATCCAGCCTGAATCTCCCCTCCTAGTTTTAAACCATTATCCCTCATCCTATTGCAACAGACCATGCTAGAAATTCTATCTCATCTTATACAGACCCCTTTCAAGAACTGAAAAGTCACAATAAGGTCTCCTGCCCCAGCTATGCCACACTCCATGTGCCATGTGCAATAGTGTTGCCAACTTCTGCTCTCAAAAGAAAGAGCTTTGGCAGGGAAAAAGCTGCCTGGGCAGAGAACTGTTTTCCTGGCTGGGATGTGGGAGCTCTGAGCTGCACATATTGGAAATGCAGAGGTAGGAAAGGCAGGTGCTGCCTGCTGCCGTGCTGAGCCAGAAAAGCCGGGCTGGGGTGGCCTTCAGGTTCCCTTTCTTGTGCCCAGATGGGAAGACCAAACTGGTGGCTGCAGCTGTATGAGGGCTGGGGTCATCAAAGGCTGTGGATGTACGTGGGGCTGCCTCCCCCTGTAGCCACACCAGCTTTGGTCATAGGAGGCTTGAGAAGCAGCATGCCTGGGTGCTGATCCAGTTGCCTGCTTGTGGATGCTGAGTACCTCTGCAAGTGCCAGTGGCCAGCAGAACCAAAGCTGTGCTCCTCCAAAGCCATCATGATCTTGGTGGTGGGATACACAACCCCTGGGACCACTTGCCCAAGCCTCTTGGCTTGGGGTTCTGCAAGAGCTGGCCTTCTCATAGGATTCCCACTTTGTGCTCAATGGGTTGGAAATACTGTAAGAGCAGCCCTTTTTCTGTTTTGCTTTAGTTTTTTTTCCCCTGATGTTTGTGTCTTTCCACTTCCGCCTCTGGCCAAGGCAAGCGGTGCCAAGGCACAAGGGCCAGGCACACCCAGAGGGAGAGGGAAGCAAAGCACCCACAACATGCAGGAAAACAGGGACAGAAAGCAAACACAGCGGCTCGGAGTGAGGAGGAGGATTTGCTTGCTGGATCCGGCCAAGGGATGGCTTTCCTCAGGGGCTCCATGGACTCAAAGTCGGTATCGTTGCTCCAATCCAGCACCCTGTCGTCCGCTCTTGCACTGATGCTGGTTTGTCACAGGAGAATCTGCACATGGGGTGCACACAGGGTTCAACACCCTCCCGCTTTCCAGCCATGTAGTCAGGTCTCCTTGGCCGCACTTTGAGCAGCAATATGGGCTCAAGCTGCACAACTTGAAAAGGCTCAAGCTCTCAAAAAGCAATGAGGGATCAAAGCTTTCTAAACACTCAGGGCATTTGGCCCAGGAGGTTTTGTTCCAACTATTTATAGCAGTTGGGGCCAAGCGAGTTCAGAGTTGGAGGCAAACTTTTCCAAAGCTGGGGGCCATTTGGATTAGGGAGGGGGAAAGGGAGTTCAGCCAGGCCTGTTTCCAGCAAACGTTGACTCCTTCCCTTAGGTATGTGTTGCTATCCATGACACACTAACAACAGCTCTGCACAGAAGTTCCTGGCTGGGGCTGTAAAGATTGAAACAAAAATGTGACTCGGCTGGAAAGGAGAACATGAAATAGAGGAAGTTGCCAAACAGCAAAGCTGTAGCATTTGAAAGTGAAAACTTTCCTTACCAGCTTGTTTTCATCTTCTGGTCAATGTCCTTCAATTGCAAACACATTCATATTGTTTTCAAGGGGAGAGATGGTGATGACTTTACAGCAGAAAGACCAAGATACGGCTTCCTGAAGCATATGCCGTGCTTAGAAATGGAGAGGAGGGGTCTGTTTATCTTCAAGGTGGGGATTAAAAGTGCTGTCACTAAAGAACATGTCCTTTTTCTGCACTACCCTCTGTAGGCAAAGCCAGGCTTAAAATCTGAGCAAACAAACCAACCATGACACCCTTGAAATCATGTCACATTTGAAGCTACAGCCATTGCAGAGCTTGACAGCAGAAGCTGGGGTTTTCCTGTCTGCCAAGAGAATTGTGCTAATGGTGGTGTTTAATCATGAGGAGCATGAGCAGCATGCTTTAGTTACACACATCTTTTTGCATGCCTAGATCTACTCTCTTGATTTCAGGCACCCAGTGTAGGTTAGAAAAGTATCCCTCTGATTACCAGTAGCTTCCCTGGCTCTGTAGGAATAGCATCTCTGAGCTTACTTCTCCCCAGAAGAAGTGGGTTTGGCAGCTTGGTGGTGTCCAGCCCAGGTAGGCTCTTACAGGGAGTGACGTTATGCTCTTTCCTAGCAAGGGCGGTTTGGGTTTTCTGCAAGCTGCTCCATGCTATTGGAGCTGGCTGCTGCATCAACAAACACAGCCCAAGTCTATCACATGTGTGCCTTGGGTTCTTTTCAGAGAGAGAGATGCCATAGCTGGAAGATTTCCTTTCATCGCCGATATTCCCACCAAAGCCAATCCTCTGATGCAGAGGCTGCCCATCCTTGCTGTGAACAATTGGACTGCACTAGAGAAGCCAAACTGTTCTACTTCAGGAAAAAGTACAAGATCTCAAATGGATTTTGAAGAACAAAATTGTCTGTATGTGGTTGGACAGTGGGATGCGAGTGGGCCTGGGCTGACTACACATCAGGGGGCCATGGCTGGTGTTGAAAGGGAATGACTTAGGCAGAAGGGAAGGCTTCCTCTGAAGCTACCCAGGTATCAGCCTCAGGGCTTGTCTTGTTTCGTATGTCCATGAATGACCCAAAAAAGTAGAAAAGCAACATTCAGATGTGTGAATGAGGCAGAGCTGAGGGGGTATCAACAGTATAAGAAGTTATCTCGTAGGGAGCTGTGGCTGCCCCATTCCCAGAAGTGTTCAAGGCCAGGCTGCATGGGGCTTTGTGCAGCCTAGTCTAGCGGAAAGTGTCCCTGCCTGTGGCAGGGGGATTGGAACGAGATGATCTCTAAGGTCCCTTCCAAGACAAACAGTTCTATGATTATAGGTGTCATAAAAATATAATTGGCTGACCTGGAAGACAAACAAAAACATCAATATGAAGCTCAGCAGTACAAAACACAAAGTCTTTGAGCTTGAGGAGCAACAACGTAAGATAGGACTTCACATTTTCCAGAGGTAACAGAGAAGGGCTTCCAACTATCCACTGGTATCATAGTGCCTGTGAGCCACCATGTTAATGCTCATGCAAACAGCAGATGCACCCTCAGTGGACTCTCATGACAAGGCCTCTCTATTGACTCACGGCAAGAGACACCAAGACATTCACTGGAACAGCAGGTACAAATCTGATCATCCTTTCCCTAGAAAAAGGTAGAATAGAGCAAGTGCAAAGAAAATCAGTTGTCTGGGTTGCTGCAAGGGTATAATAGGTGTGAGGGTCAGATGTGGTTGTTCTTCTCCCATCTTGTTTTTTCAACATGGGAGAGACAGGCTCTGAGCCCAGTTTCCACCCCTAGCCAGCAGAAGAAAATGTTCTTCTCATTTTTGCCTCCTAATGATAATGATGACCATTCACCTCTTGTTTTGTACATGTCCTTAATATGAAAATCCATTCTTGTGCTTGGTGCTAATGTTCTCAGTTCTTGGTTTGGAAAGGTTACGCTGGCCAACTGGACAGTCATGCGGTTCTCTGAGAGGCTGTCTGTTTTGCAATTAACAGACAAAATGCCTACCACTGTGGTTGGAAAGAAGCTTTAATTAAAATCCTTTGGTATTGGCCTTGGCCAGACTGCGGAGTGAATGGGAAGAGGCCAAAAGGCCTGGGCCAGTGTCTTGGGTCACCCTAGGAGGGTGCCCACTTAGCTGAGACTGAACACAAGGAAGAACTTGGTTTATAATTGCATGGGCTTTTTTTTCTTTTTCCCCTCAAGTGACCTGCCCAGTGGATGATGACAAGCTGACAGGAGCGCAGATACTGCCAGCCAAAAGTTGGGATAGGTTCACAGGTCGTTTGAATCCTAATGAGGAGCCATGAATAAAAGCTCACATCACACAAATATAAAACACCTCACTGTCTTCTCTAATGAGCATGGCTCTTCAAATGCTTTGTCATAGGCTTTGCGTGACTTTAAGAGCTGCCCAGGGCTGCATCTTTCAGGCTGGACTCCAAGTTGCTGTCATCTACCCCATCTTCTCTCAGATGGCCACCAGTAAGGTACCTCACTCTGCTGGGTGGCCAAGGCAGACCTGCAGCAGCCCTGCGTGTTTATGATGGTGGCACGGATAAGCAAAGTCCTTGGAGGGTGAGATACCCCCTTGTGGGGATGTGTTGGGCCCTGGTCATCCTCACCTGAGTGGACGTTGCCCTCCAGGTGCTTGTCTGTGATGTGCTGGGCTCTGGACAAATGGGCATGTTGTTTAGAGTGTAGTGTTCCCCGCCAATGCTGTAACTGCAGGTGCTACTCTAATGAGCAAGTGCCTGCTCCTCCCAATGTCAAAGTGAATTAACTAATGCAGAAGTCACTTACTAAGCACCAGGAAGCTGGAACCAGGGTAGGTTATGTTGTCCTTTACATGGAGAGAGTCCTGCTAGCTTTCATGGTAGCCAGCACTGTGGGCCTATTTATACTCCCTCTGCTCAGGACAAAGTGATGGACTTTCTTGTTTGCAAGCTAATGAGCAAGCAAAATTAAGAAATCTTAAAAGCTGAATGGTCACTAGCCCCAGAATTTGTTCAAGGCCAGCTTGGACGAAGCCGTGGGTGAGATGGTTTAGTGTGAGGAGTCCCTGCCCATGGCAGGGGGGTTGGAACTTCATGATCTTAAGGTCCTTTCCAACCCTAACTATTCTATGATTCTATGAGGGTGCTACCAGCCCATGTTTACCCTTAACAAGATACCAGGGCCCTGAAGCAATGGAGATGTTTTTCAAAGCATTATTCAAAAATCTCTTTTATTTTTTTCTAAGATTATTAAAGTCACTTTTGCTGGCCCTTGGTTCTATGCACCAAGCCTTGACGTAAATTGGCTTTCACATGGCTTAAGGTTAAAATAAATAAATAAATAAATCCTTTCCTGCTGCCATTTAAGGTGTTGTCTCCTGCTTTCAGGTTTAATTTTGTGCTGTCAAGCTGTGTGGGAGCACTGAGCAGCTTTGGTGTTTTTCAGCCCGTGCTGGTGATGGAGGATGCTTCGTCCGGGTGACCCCAGGCTCTTCAGCTCAGATACACTTGCATATAGCTAGGTAAGTGTAGGTGCCTACTGTCTGGCACCCATCCTGCAGGCAAGAAGGGAGAGGGGGAAGCTTGGGTGGCTGGTAGTGGGAAATGGGTGCCACAGTGATTAAGCACAGGGGCGGTTCCAGGGACTGGTCATCAGTGGGCTTTGGGGCTGGGTGAAACATCCTTCAGGAATCAGTTTAGCCCTTTGCTGGGCCAGCCACCTGTGCAAACCTAGCTTTTGGGATAAAATTAGTATTCTGAGGCAGTGGCAGGGGATTTTTTTTTACTGTTCCCCAAGAAAAATGCCATTTTTAATGCCCAAGTGTAGCAGACAAAAGGGTTGGTGGTGTTTTTCCCTTTCCTTTCAATTCCCTTTCTGCGTGGTGACATTTTCTACTTCCAAAACCAGTTCTTTTTTATTTCTTTTTCCCCTCTTCTTTTTCTCCCTCTTATTTCCCATCCCATCCCCCCCCCCAAGTAACCCTCTGGGGCCATGGCCCCATCCACTTTCCTGGGGTCCCCAATTCTGGCAGGGTGCCGAGGAAGTGCCAAAGCACAGAGGGGTAATGCCAGCACTTCCTGCTCCCTCGCTGGCAGCACAATGGGGACATTCAGGCGGGCACCATGCAGCCCAGCACCAACCCATAGCTAGAGACCTCCCCCCCCGCCCCGCCATCCCCATCCCCCTTATTGCTGTCTCCCAAATAGCAGTGTGAGACAGAAAGCAGCTGACGCCGTGTCCCAGCGCGCCGGCGGAGGCGAATTGGAATCCAGCATCACAAAACAAGCCCTGTGCATGTTCCCCTCCTGACGCAGGCGCGTGTGTGTGTCCTCCTCCCTCTATCCCCCCTAATTCTCCAAGTCTGCCCGGTAACACCAAACTGGGCTCCCTTTCCCACCCCCCCCCCCCAATCCGCGCACTGCCAACACCCAGGGCCTCTGCTGCTGAGCTGCGAGGAGCTGGTGGAGCTGCAGGGAACGGCATGTTTTCCTTCTCCCTTTCTTCCTGCGGAGTCGCTTGTTTTTTAATCAGGGCTGGCAGGGAGGCGTGGGTCAGGGCTTGGAGGCAGACCCCCTCCTCGCCCGGTAACAGCCTACCCGAAAAAAACACGAGGAGATTTCACTGGTGCTCAAGGGAGCCTTGTTTTCAATCACAGGCAGATCAGCGTGTTTTTGAGGGGTGGGATGAAGGAGGGGGGGCACAGCAAGGAAAGCGGGGCTTCCTTCTCACTGGGTCCACCCAGATCTTTTCAGGCTTTCCTGCCTGCTCCAGAGTGGGCTTTTCCCCCTCTCAACTGTGCTTTGCTGTTTTTTCGCTTCTCTGACTGCTTGCAGCAGTTGCTGGGTTTGCAGAAGGTGAGGCAGGGCTGGTGTAAATCCAGAGGTCCTGGACTGCTGGCTGCAGGTTGGGCTTCGGCCTGCTGCCCTCTGGAACTCCCTGGGAAGCAGGGTAGATGCAGGGATGAAAATGATGAAATATGCTGGGTTTCAGGGGGTTTAATTGATGGGTGTCAGCTGCCTGTGCCTCCTCCCTGTGCCTCCTCCCTGCATAAAGAGCTTTTGCAGGTCCCTTGGGCTGAACAGCCACAGGACATGAGCTGATGATTACTGGGTTCAAAATAATAAATCCATTTGGACTTTTCTGGCATGTTCACAACACCTCAGGATGAGTTTGCCAAGGTGTGAGCCATGCTTAGAGCACAGAGGTATCAGGGATATCCAGTGCGCATGCCTGATGTAAGGGATGGGTGTTTGGACCCACAGTTGTGCTGACATACAACAGGGCCTGATGAAAGGTGGAAGCAAGCACCTCCAGAGGAGTGTCATGCTCCCCTGGTCATTTTGGGTGCTGTGTCACAGCACTGGCTGAAGGGAGGATGGAATAAACATCTTCCTGGCTCCAGGGGCCCCAAATGGCTAGGGAGAAAATAGAGTGCCGTAAGCTGGTGCCCTGGGGTGCAAATGAAGAGCAGGCATGCCAGATCCTGCAGGCACTGTGTGCAGTCATTGAGTAAACTGCAGGAACAGAGATTGGGCAGACTGTAGACAGCCAGGGGTATGGCAGGATAATTGGCAGGGCCAATATTTGGGGGTGGCTGGGAGAGGCTGGGGAGGGCACCATGTCCGTGTGCGTGCTGGTGGGGCTCTACCCCAGGGAGAGGCTGAGCCCAGGGCTTCTTGCACAAACTGTTTGTGTAGGGTGAGGAATGCCAGGGCCTGGGGGCATGGAGCAGCTCAGGACGGTCCTGTGGCACCCGTCCTGCAACAGCTGCCTGAAGGAAACATGGATTATAGCTCCCAGGGGACGAGGGCATTGCTGGGCAAGCAGGGTCAGCTCCGCTCTGAAGGATCTTCCCTCCAAAGGGATGGGCAGGCAGCACAGGCATGGGCTGTGTCAATAAAGATTTTTTCTTCGTAAGACTTCAGGATCTTTTTCTCCTGTGCCCTGCTTCCCTCCTCTGTTCCTCAGCATCCGCCCTTCTCATTGACTCCATTAAATTATGTCAGGTCATAGAATCATAGAACAGTTAGGGTTGGAAAGGACCTTAAGATCATCAAGTTCCAACCCCCCTAGCATGGGCAGGGACACCTCGCACTAAACCAGCTCACCCGAGGCTTCCTCCAACCTGGCCTTGAACACTGCCAGGGATGGAGCATTCACAACCTCCCCAGGCAACCTATTCCAGTGCCTCACCACCCTAACAGGAAAGAATTTCTTCCTTATATCCAGTCTAAACTTCCCCTGTTTAAGTTTGAACCCATTACCCCTTGTCCTATCGCTACAGTCCCTAATGAAGAGTCCCTCCCCAGCATCCCTATAGGCCCCCTTCAGGTACTGGAAGGCTGCTATGAGGTCTCCACGCAGCCTTCTCTTCTCCAGGCTGAACAGCCCCAACTTTCTCAGCCTATCTTCATACAGGAGGTGCTCCAGTCCCCTGATCATCCTCGTGGCCCTCCTCTGGACTTGTTCCAACAGTTCCATGTCCTTTTTATGCTAAGAACACCAGAACTGCACACAATACTCCAGGTGAGGCCTCACAAGAGCAGAGTAGAGGGGCAGGATCACCTCCTTCGACCTGCTGGTCACGCTCCTTTTGATGCAGCCCAGGATACGGTTGGCTTTCTGGGCTGCAAGCGCACACTGCAGCCGGCTCATGTTCATTTTCTCATTGACCAACACCCCCAAGTCCTTCCCTGCAGGGCTGCTCTGAATCTCTTCTCTGCCCAGCCTGTAGCTGGTGCCTGGGATTGCTCCGAGCCAGGTGTAGGACCTTGCACTTGTCATGGTTAAACTTCATGAGGTTGGCATCAGCCCACCTCACAAGCGTGTCAAGGTCCCTCTGGATGGCATTCCTTCCCTCCAGCATATCAACCGAACCACACAGCTTGGTGTCATCAGCAAACACAGAATATCTAGCCTGAAAAGCACACATCTTGCAAGAATAACCAGCACCACCATCGCTTCCTGGCCTTGCATGCCTCCAGCACACAGCCAGGTGTGAAGAGGAGGAGCCCTGGAAGATCCAAAACCCCAAGCTTTAACCTTTATAGCCCTTCTGAATTATACCCTTGGAGATGAGCAGCCAGGGCCCCACCACTGAGGACACGTTGGAAAGTGAAGTCAGGTAAAGACAGATGCAGTCTTCAGGTAGACTTGACTGTAGGCAGGATAGAGGTTCATTCAGCAAACTCATTGCTCTGTTCACCCATGGGTGCAGAGCCAGGAAGAGGGCAGGTGCTGGTTTTCCCTGGGCTGGTCATGGTGTTCACTGGACAAACTGGTCCTCCTGGTCACCTGCTCATTGAGATTCTTACTGAGTGCGAAATAGGATGCAGGTACAATATATAGGATAGCCTGTATGGTATCATGGCATAGGATACAGACGTAGCCTACAGCTTGCTGTGGCAAACAAAGTAACAGCTCAAGACCTGGATTTCATATTGGATGTTGGAAGAGCTGCAGTGTTAGGAAATGGGCTGGGTTTGTCCAAGTCCAAAGAAAAGAGAGGGGAGGAGTTTCATTCCATCCCAAACCATAAGCCCAGTCATATCCCTCCCCATCTTAGGTTCAGGTTAGGGATGTAGTAGGGCTTAGTAGTAGGATGAGGGTCTCTCTCTACTGGGCAGCCCCACGTCCATGAGGCAATTGGGGTAGGGCTTGAGCTCAGCCTTTTGTTACAGGAGGACTGTCAGGGAGTGAGCAAGGGGGACGCACCCAGTTTCTCATCAAGGTTATGGGATGGAAAACATGTTTAGGAGGGTGTTAGCTATGTCATGGCCCTGGAGTTATGATAATCCTCCCCACTGCCAGTGATTTGAGCTGTACCTATTGCAGGGCAGTGGCCTTGTGGCAGGGCCTGCCACGCTGGGTTGAAGCATCAAGGGCAACCTTCCCATCGGTTTTCAAATCCCAAGAGATTTCCTTGGCAGAGCAATTCAGTTTTCTTTGGAGCAAAGAGAATCTTCCCCTCCTCCACCACTGCTGAATACTCTGGCATTGCACCAAA